TGCGGCTGCCTGCCGATGAGAGCCGCAAGCCCGTCGCCGCGGGCGGCGGCGAGGAGAGGCCGAGTCGCCGCGCTGCGGCCGACGCCTGAAAGCGGCGGTGGGGGCGGCGGCGGTGAGCGCGGCGCCAGTCCTCGGAGGCGGCCGTGAGGACGGCGAGGGCGAGGGCGGTGGCAGGGAAGGTTGAGGTGGCGAAGAAGCGGCAGAGGAGGCGGGGGAGGCCGAAGTGGAGGAGGCGGTGGCGGAAGTGGCGGTGGCGGCGGAGGCGGTGGCGGCGAGGCAAGGCGGAGCAGGCGGCGGATACAGAGGCGGAGGCGGAGGCGGAGTAGAGGGGAGTGGTTCGGAGGCGGAGGCGGCGAGGGAGGCGAGGGAGGCGGAGGAGGAGGAGAGGGGAGGGAGGGGTCAGGCGGCGTGGGAGGCGGAGGAGGAGGAGTACGAGGGTGCGGGCCATGTGCCTCTACGCCTCGTGTGCAACGCGCCGTGTGTGTGCTCTGCGAGTGCGTGTGCCCCGTCGTCCGTGCTAGGACGTGTGTCGCGCACTGACACTGGACTGACCTCTGGCAGTGAGCACTCCGCAACCACTTCGCCGTCCGAGATTGCCCAGGCGGTGCGCCTGTCCGCAGACCAGCGCACACCGCCGCCGACCGGGTCGCCCGCCTCGAAGCGCGACACCTCCGACTCGCCGTCCGCAAAGGTGTACAGCCCTACGGGTTCACACACCAACCGACGCCACTGAGAGGACGCCTCAAACGACGCACACACTCTCGGCGACGGCGCGGCGTTTCGGGGTGGGTTGTCGGCAGCGCTGGCAGCGGCGGCGGCGGCGGCGGCAGCGTTGGCGGCGGCAGCGTTGGCAGCGGCGGCGGCGACGGGGGCGGGGCGGCGACGGCGGCGGCGTCGGTGGGTCGAGGTGGGCTCTTGCCGGCGCACCTTCGCCGTATGGTTCGTCGTCGCGCACTGGACCGATGTACATCTCGCCGCTGGCGGTCAAGTAGGTGCCTCGGCCCTCCTTGATACCATTGCGCCAGGTGCCGTCGTACACGTCGCCGCACGCGTACTCCTCACGTCCCAATCCCTCCCGCTCATTCCGAACCCAGTCCCCAGCGTAGACGTCGCCGTTCGCCGCTCGCAGCGTGCCCCGGCCGTGCCTGAGGCCGGCGCGGAAGTAACCCTCGTATACATCGCCGTTGCTGTAGCGGTGCACTCGATAGCCCTCCATGACGCCGCGGCAAAGCGCGCAGAGAGAGTGTCCCCCGGCCGCTTGTTGGTCTTAGAACAGTGATGCACTTCCTCGAGGGCATCGAGCGCCTCTATTCATACCCGTAACTGTAACAGCTCCGCAGGCCTCATCAGCCCTCGACCGGTTTGGGGGTGGGGCGGTTGGGGTCGAGCCGAAATGAACTCGGGGGGTTGGGGTCGGGTCGAGCCTACATCCCAATCAACAATCAGTGTTGAGCAAGGACCAAGGTGGTCGTCTTGTCTTGTGGTTCTGTGTGTCGCTCCTGTGTGGCCGTCAATGCCCGTCCCGCGTCCACCCATACAACAAGAGAGTACTAATAGTGTAGAGGTCTTTCCGTCATAGTACACATGGTGTATGTGTACAAAACCCCACCCACAGCGCGCGTTTTACGCCGTCTGCACACACGCCCTCGCTCACCCGCTGCTGAATCACCCGGTCGTTGGTCGGTGGCGTGAACCGTAACAGCGGGAAGGCCGTTTTTCTCAAAAAACCAGCTGAAGCCGCCGCCAAGGCTGGCCCAACCTCGTCCTTTGTTTCGGCTGTGTCGGCCAAGCGCCTTGCATGCGTGTGCCTGAGGGCTTGGGGCGCTCGACGCAAACACTACCCATGCCTCGAGCGAACGGCGATCCGTCACCTCCACACGCTCGCGTCGACTGGCTCCTTGCGCTGCAGGACGGCGACGTTGCTTCGTGGGACATCTACAATGGAGCTAGAAAGTGGACGGTGGCCATCGCTGGAGGCCACGCGACTCTGCCCGAGGGTATGGAGGTTTTGCCAGACAAGGCCTTCTTTGGCCGCACCTCCGTCGTCTCCATCACGTGCCCGAGCAGCCTCAGGTCGATCGGCGAGCAGTGCTTCAGCGGCTGCACCTCCCTCGCCGCCGTCGTGCTGCCCGCGGGCCTCTCCTCGCTCGGCGACGGGTGCTTTCGAAACTGTGCGTCGCTCACCTCCGTCACCGTCCCCGCCGGCCTCGCGACGTTGGGTGTCCAGGCCTTTGACGGCTGCTGGTCGCTCACTTCCATCCGTCTGCCGCCCGGCCTCAAGTCCATCGGGCGCTGGACGTTTGCCGGTGGGCATACGCGCCGCCAAAGCTCGCACGGCGGCGGCACATCTCTGGCCACCCGGGCTGCACCTCGCTTCGCCCCCTCTCCGCGACGCACCCAGTCATTCTCATCCACGCCCCTCCCACCACGCAGACTGCACCCCGCTCGCCCGCTCACCGTGACGCACACCCAGTCGTTCAGCCATCGACGCCTTCAGCCATCCACGCCCCCTCCCACCCCTCCCAGGCTGCACCTCGCTCGCCCACGCCACCCTGCCCGACCACCTCGAGAAGCTCGGCGAGTACGCGTTTGCGGGCTCCTCCCTCGCCACTGTCGCCCTGCCCGCCAGCCTCGCCTCGGTCGGGGAGGGTGCCTTCTTCCGCTGCTCCGCCCTCACCTCCATCGCCCTCCCCGCCGGGGTCACCTCGATCGGCTGCGGAGCCTAGAAGCGGAACGCGTCACACTTCTCTTCAGACGGGGGGAGGGCACGCAGTGCTCCGAGGACTCGGCACCGTACCGTGTTCACGCCCTGGCGTTTGCGTATTCACACAACCGCACACCCCCGGGCCCGACATCGCATGACAACACAGTGACAGTCAGACACGCAACACCGCCGTGTTCACACTGTAGGCTACGGAGCCTTCACCAGCTGCTGCTCGCTCACGCGAGTCAGCCTCCCCGCCAGCCTCACCTCGCTCAGCTCCTGCGCCTTCAAGGGCTGCACCGCCCTCGCACGAGTCACCTTTCCCGACGACGTCGCCGCGCCGACCCCTCGCTCCGCCTTCTACATCGAGGAGCGGCATCCCCTCCAAGACGCACCCCGCCACGTACCTGCCCTTCTCCTCACCATCGACACGTCCCCGCACCTGCCCTTCTCCTCACCATCGACACGTACTTGGCCCTCTCCTCGAGGAGTGGCACACCCCTCCGAGACGCCATCCGCGACGACCCCACCTGTGCGCACCCCCGCCGGCGCAGGACTTTTCCTTCAAGGGGTGCACTGCCCTCGCCGACGTCGACTTCCCCGCAGACCTCTCCTACATCGGCTACGACGCCTTCTATAACTGCGCGTCGCTCGGATCGGTCACGGTGCCAGCCTCCGCTCAGATCGAGGAGTGGCATGGCAACGCCCTCGCCTTCCACCCGAGCACGACCGTCGTCCGCCTCCCTGCCGCGCGGATGCGCGCTCGGCGACGGCTCTCCCTCCTAGATGCCCGGGGTCCGCCCTTGTCCCACGCGACGCGCCGAGTACACAGCACGGCACCGCCCTCCCGCCCTCACTTCGCTGTGTCCGCTCACTAGGCTCACCTTCCTCTTGGAGGCGGTCCTCAGCTACCGGCGCGCCCGCCCCTTGCTCTTTGGCTGGCTGGAGAGAGTGCAGGTCCGGATCGGCTCTTACGGCCCGGACGGAGCGGCGCGCAAGCGCGACCGCGAGGAGTTTGAGGGCGACTTCGGGGAGGGATTTGAGAGGATCTAGTGTGTGTTGGTAGTTGAGGAGGGCGCTTGAGCCTTGATTGAGCGCGGTTCTGTGCAGTGCGGTGAGCGTGAGGAGGGGTGTGGCGAGCTGGCGAGTGTTCAGTGTAAGCTGTAACCGGTTCCTGTGCGCTCTGTGGCGCTTTTTGAGAAATTTGTATAGACTCGTGACTTTAAAGGTAAGAGGTCTGAACTGAGCGACAGGCGGCCGTCTGATAGGGCTGCCACGTACTGAACAAAACAGCTGCGGCCTCACCTCACCGGACTGGCTCGCTGAAGATCACTGCGTGGCGCTCGTGCAGCGAAAGTGACCGCCCGCGCATGAAGTCGCTCCAGTTCCGAGCGACCTCCGCTTCGGTGTCCGAGCAGGACGACAAGCGGTCCAGCGATGCGACGCGAGGGTCCGATTGCAACGCGGAGATGGCATGCCAGGCGGCGGATCCGGGTGCCATGGCCAGGCGGCGCCTCGCGCTCGGCACACTGTCACAGGTGCCGAGGGAGTCGGCGTCGACGGGCTTCGAGCCGAGCCGCAGCCCGGCGCGCTCATCGAGCTCGACCGTGAATGGAGTGAGGTCCTCGCGCAGCATATTTGTGAGATTCTCATCCTTTGGCGAGGCACTCACCTCCGTCCCGGCAAAGGAGCCAGCGCAGAAGGCGTCGCGGCGAGACAGCTGCGCGCGAAGACGCATCTGCCTGAGCGCTTGTGGAGACATGATGAGGGCGCTCGTGTTGATGCGGTTTAGCAGTGTCACTTTCAGAGCCATGCCACCGACCGGAAAACGACTTGCAGCGTCGGGCAACGCTGTCGGTGCCCTTGACAAGGGATGTGTTAGGATCGCGGTCAGCGTCTCGGTTGATGTTTTCTTTTTATTGGCACTAGAAAGAAAAGGTTCTTCCCAACCACGATTCAGGAAGAGTCAGACACCCAAGGGTGGGCGACGGCTAGCACCACACTCCTCTGTGTTTTAGGGATGGTATTACTCCTCTGAGAGAGAGATTTTTATTAACCAACAAGAAATCACGACTCTCACTTCTCTTCTTCTCCTCTAGCAGGTGTGAAGTTTGCATGCGATGGCCCGGCCACCGATGACGCGGCAAGCGCGGTGGACAAATGCTGAGGTACAATGCTGACACTAGTCTCTGCCACACTGCCGCGACCGTCGTCATACAAGCGACGCCGGGCGCCTTTCTGTCTATCCTGCAGGGCGTGGGGCAGCAAATCCGCCCGCTCAGCTCCGAGGCGAAGCGGATGCTGCCACACGAGCTGGCGCCGATCCACCTCGCGGCGGGTGAGGCGGTCATCTACCACGGCGCTACAAGCCTGCACGGCTGCCGAGCGCTGGGGCCCTCCGAGGAGCGGTGGACGATAACCCTCTTCTACTCGCTGCTGAAGGGCGTACACCGCGCGTACGCCGACAACTACGGCGTGGACGGCGTTGGGTGGAGCGAGGACCGCGAGGAGTTTGAGGAGGAGCAGAGCGGCATGCAGTGGCACCCCGCGGCGCACGTGGCGGGGAGGATGCACTGTAGGCATGCGTTTGGCGGTGCACGCGCGAACCGATGCTGCCGGTATTGGAGCCGGCGCGAGATCGTGGAAGATCCTGGCGTCCGAATCACTTTGATTTTCCGGGACAGCCCCGCCCTTTTGAGGCAGGAAAGTGACGCCTACGCTTTTTTTTTCTTCGCCAGAGAGATATTTTTAGTTCTGAGAGCGCCTTCGTTGTTAAGGTCATTCACGGGTGTCCGCGGCCCACTGTGCCCGCTGGTAGGACAATGACCGCCGCAAACCCTGTGGTGAGCTCCATATGATCTCGGATATTTTTTGTAGGCCGCACCGTAACACACCAAAAAACTACTTTGTCTTCGAGTGAAAAGTAAGCCGAGAAAGCCCGCGGCCGCAGTGAATTAAAAGGCGCGGTTTTCGAGGGGGAATCTGGAGAATCTGGGAATCGGCTCACCACGGATCCCCATCTCATCGAAAAACTTTTCACTCCAAGACAAAGTACTTTTTTTAAGGTGGCTCTACCAGCTAGGCACAAAAGATATGGCATTGCAGGCCATTTAGGGCCCCTTAGACGGTCACTGAGTAGGCCAAAATCCCCACTGGGCCGGGAGCAACCATCCTTAACAATAAAACAGACGGATGGTCGGGTGAGTGTGTGTAGCATTTCTAGCCCAACTCTGGCCCAAATCTTAGAGATCGCCACCGCACCGGGTTGCACCGATAATGTTCATTTTGAGTCGTTTTTATCGGTAACGTGTGATAAGTGTGCGGGGGATGGGCGACGTGGCATAGTGGGAAATTATACACCGTCGCCAACTGCAAAACCACACTCCCGGGTCGCGGAACATGCACATGTACATAGCTAAAAAAGTACGTACATGCGTGCATGATCACGGCTCACGCGCATGCATCATTGCGCACATTCCCTCACATATGATCGTATACGGCTAGATTTTACGCATTTCTGGGAGGAGCGCAAGTGCGGACTCTTTTGTGCCTGCATTGCGCCCGAGCTGGTGCCAGTGAAAGTGCCATATACGTGGGTTGGCACAGCTCTACTTTCAGCGCCGAGATTTGCCCCCGTTCATTCGCATGCAGAGTAAGCCGTGCCCCATATATCGAAGCTCACGGCACGCGTGTGTCCTTATCAGTACAATTTCCCACGCATTGCGGGGCAAAGCATCACACTAGGCACATCTGATCTGCAACACTCTCCGTTCCATCTAACTGACCGCCCCTCGTCTGCCACACTGCCCCGCGTTCTCGCCGGCCGGTGTCGGCGGTCCGCAGAGGTCCCCTAACCGACCACCCCCGACCAGATGCCAAATTCGACCTCACCCTTCGACATCGCCATGATCTTCTCAAAGACCCGCTCTCCGTCATCGTGCAGGCCCGAGTGCTGGAACTCGTTGCTCACCCATAGACGGCACGAGCGCAGCATCGCCGCCGTATCCTCGCTGAACTCGCGCTCGACGTAGATGTCGTCGTAGCTCATCAGTGCGCCGCACTCGGCGTCGCTCTTGCCGAGGTTGTTGATGTCGTACAGCTTCGGCCAGTCAGCCTTGTTTGCCAGCAGCTCCGCGGCCGGGGCGAGCGGCCTGCGGGGCAAGCGAGCGGCCTTCGGCGGGCGCTGCTGTGAGTGTGGGCTGGAGGGAGCGGGCAGCGCAGCACCGGAGGGCTGAGTAGTCCTCCCCCATCCACTTGTATACCATCTCGCCGGTGAAGAGAATCGGCTCGGCGCCCTTGTCCAGCCGTTGCGTGTAGTCGAAGGCCGGGAGCGACGCCTGCACGCGCTCTGCGGCCCACGCGCTCGCCGAGCCGGGTCCGTCGCAGTAGATGGACTCGTGCAGCAGCCAATAGATTGGGTTCGTCGAGAAAGCTTCCGCGTCGTCCACGCCGCGCAAGAAGAGCTCTGGCAGCTCGCCGGCGGGAGCTCCGGGTGCCTTTGCCAGCTCGAGCAGGTCATGCAGCTTTTCGAGCCCCGCGCCCGAGCCGAGCATGAGCCCGAGCGACAGGAAGCGCCGTGCGGTCAGCGTGCCGCCGCGAGGCAGCTTCGCGGGCGACGTGTGGAGGATGCGCACGAGGTCGCGCACATTCTCAATTTCGTCCGGGTAGCGGCGATAGAAGCGCGCGTTGCGCTTCTCCATCCGCTTGAACGTGGCGCGGTAAACCTCCTCGACCGGCTTGCCGACCGGAGCGAGCCCGCAGGTGAAGAGGCAGCGCTCGATGGCGTCGGGGTAGGCAGACAGGTACCGAAGCATGCAAAATCCGCCGAACGACTGGCCGATCAGCGTCAACCTCTTGCCGCCGGCAATCTTGTCGCGAACAATCTCGCAATCGTTGACTATGGAGTCGGCGCGAAAGTGGGACATGTACTCCGCCTGTGCTTCCGGCGAACCGATTGATAGGATGTGCTGCGGTGTCGCCGGAGTGCTCCGACCCGTGCCTCGCTGGTCAAACAGCAGGACGCGGAACGAGTCGAGAGCAACCTTCATCCACCCTCCGGGCGGTGCGGAGACGCGCGGTGAGGGGAAGCCTGGCCCGCCCTGCAGGTAAAGGATGAAGGGCATGGAGTCGTCCTTCTCCTTGCCCGCCTTGGCAACCTACGGCGAACACGGTGGCTCGCGTGTAAGAGAGGACTGCGTTGTGAGAACAAGACTGAGGGAGGCTATTCACTGATCATCACCTCGCGCACGAAGAGAGTGATGGTCTTGCTACGGCTCGGAGCTCGGCGTGGCGGCGCTCAAGTACCTCCCATACGGCGGGCTTTACATATCCGGTGGCATCGCCGCCAAGAACCCAGATTGGATCACCTCGGAGGAGTTTCAGAGCGCCTACAAGGACAAGGGCCGCCTCTCGCCGCTCGTTGAGCAGATCCCGCTGTACCAGGTTAAGGTGGAGGACACAGGCGAGCGCGGCGCCCTATTCGTCGCCTGCAAGATCCTCTGCGAAACCAAGGGGCGCATGGAGGTTAAGAAGGCACCACCGACGAAGAAGTTTGCGCCACTGACCACCAAGGACGACGAGGGCGTGACCCCGACGGAGCCGGTCTCGCCAAAGTCTGTTTCTCGCTCCTCGCTGCCTAGCCCGAGTAGGTTCGGGGGGCTCTAGGTAGGGAGTGGGTTCGATCGGGGCCTTGGCGAGCGGGTACCGAGGCTGGGGAGAGGTATCGCATTGGGCGCGCAAGAAGCCATGCATTTGTCGAGAGAGTTCTTGGAGAGACGTGAGCAACTATCGCGCGCCCGACCAGCTCCGGGTGTGAATGTATGTGGCGGGCGGTTTGGCGGCCGCGGGCGGTTTAGTTCCGAGTAGCGTCGATCTAGCGAGCACGACAAACGCTGTACGTGAGCGGAAAATGATCATATGCGCTGATCTAGCTACGGCTCTAGAGATCCCTATCTCACACACACCCTATGTCTCTCTCGCTGACGCTTTGACCTGCGCACCTCTGTCGCTCCCCCCGCTCAGACGCACACTGTACACGGCTCTAGATGTGTCTAGAGCCGTAGTGTCACCTCGTCAACACAGACTCGCATACTATGGAGCTAAAAGTACGTACACTGCACACACAAAAACACCCTGAGAATCGTGCGCGCCCCCTCTCGCAGACACGAACAAAGCGGGGCACTAGCTGCCTGCCGGCGCGCCACCCAACTCGGCTCTCCGGAGCACCTCAGCGTACGCCGCCCGCTCGGCCGCCTCGGAGTGTCCCCGCGCCACCACGCCCCGCGCGCAGTGGGCGAGGCGGCCGGCGAGCATACGGTCGTCGAGCAGAGACTGGGCGAGGGCGACGGCGGCGTCGGGGGTGGTGAAGAGGAGCCCCGATTCGCCTGTTCACGGCTGGCGGCGTGAAGAGGCGCCGTTCACACCGTTGGGTCGAGGCGTCCGACGGATCGAGAGGGACGTCCCCAGCCATCTCGGCTATATCTGGGCGACATCTCGGCATATCTCGGCGACATCTCGGCGACATCTCGGCGACATCTCGGCGACATCTCGGCGACATCTCGGCGACATCTCGGCGACATCTCGGCAACAGCTCGGCATATCTCGGCTATCTCGGCTATATCTGGGCGACATCTCGGCATATCTCGGCGACATCTCGGCGACATCTCGGCGAAATCTCGGCGAAATCTTGCCGTGGGTGACCAAGGACGCGTTGCCGGCGTTGCGGCGCGCGAGGACCGGCGTGCCCACCGCGAACGCCTCGAGGATCGAGTTGCACATCCCCTCCGCCTGAGATGTGGGGAGATGCGGGGAGATATGGGCAGATATGGGGGGGGTATGGGGAGGTCTGGGGAGGTCTGGGGAGATGTGGGGAGATATGGGGAGATGTGGAGAGATATGGGCAGATATGGGGTAGGTATGGGGAGATGTGGGGCGGTATGGGGAGGTATGGGGAGATGTGGGGGGGTGCGGGGAGGTATGGGGAGGTGTGGGGAGGTGTGGGGAGATGTGGGGAGATGTGGGGAGATGTGGGGAGATGTGGGGAGATGTGGAGATATGTGGAGATATGGGGGGAGATGGGGAGAGATGGGGGGAGATATGGGGAGATACGGGGTCCGCCTCGGAGGTGTTGAGGACGGCGACGGCCGCGCGCATAGCGAGGTGCAGCTCTCTCTGAGGAAGCACGCCTGGGACTCAGAGCAGTGAAGTACATGAACATGAGTACACGCGGGCAGGCGGAGCAGCTCACCAGCAGGAGAGGGGGGTAAGAAGGAGCGGGTCGTCCCCCCCAAGGGGGGGGACACCACCTTGCGAAAAAAGGGGGATTTGCAATTGCCAGGGGCCAGTTTTTTCCCTTTTTTTTTCTTTGGCCCCCCCCCCCCCCCCCCCGCGGTGTTGCCACGTGGCTGACGGCTGCATCTGTGAAGCATCTAGAGGAAGATCGCCGCACCACGCCGCCGCCCGCGCCGGCCGCAGCGTGGCGAGGGCTTCCTCGACCGTCGCGGCGTAGGCGGAGTCGAGGGGCGGACCGACGATCCGCAGCACTGCCGCGCCTGGAGAGAAAAAGAAACACGTGCACGCAAGAGAAGTCCTCCTCCCGACGATCCGCACTGCCGCGCCTAGGAACAAAAGAAGACGCCTCGCGCGGAAGAAGGAGCGCCGTGGCCGACGATCCGCAGCACTGCCGCGCCGCCACGAAGTCGCCAGGCGGCGACGGCGGCGGCGGCGTAGAGGACGTCCTTGACGGGCCTCAGCCCTGCGGGAAGGGGGGGGCTGAAGAGCTGGGTAACACGGGGCTGTGCATTGAACTCGAGGAAAGGAGGAGGAGCTGCTCTGACAGTCATGGGACATAGGAAGAATGACATAAGAAGAAGGAGGATGGAAGAGGGTAACAAGAATACCGACCCATTTCAGCCTGCAGGGAGGAGGAGGAGCTGCTCTTCAGTGACAGAAATGAGAGACAAGAATACTAATCCAGTTCAGCCTGCAGGGAGGAGGAGCTGCTCTAAGTGTCAGTAACGAGAGAAAACAAGAATCCTCTTCCTTCCAGGCCTGCAGGGTGTCAGTGAGAGAAAGCAAGAATCCTCTTCCATTCCAGGCCTGCAGGGAGGAGGAGGAGCTGCTCGCCCGCGCGCACGTCGAGCCGCGCGAGGACGGCCGCCTACCATGCAGTGCCAATCAGTCCTGTGCAGTGCCAATCAGTCCTGTGCGGTAGTCCTATGCAGTGCCAATGAGTGTCGTATGCGGTGCCGATGAGTGTCCTATGCAGTGTCCATGAAATGAGTCCCATGCAGTGCCAGTGAGTGTCCTATGCAGTGCCGATGAGTGTCCTATGCAGTGCCAATGAAATGAGTCCCATGCAGTGCCAATCAGTCCTATGCAGTGCCGATGAGTGTCCTATGCAGTGTCCATGAAATGAGTCCCATGCAGTGCCAGGGAGTCCTATGCAGTGCCAGTGCGTCCTATGCAGTGCCGATGAGTGTCCTATGCAATGTCAATGAAATGAGTTGCAGTGCCAGTGAGTCGTATGCAGTGCCGATGAGTCGTTCGTCGGGCATTCGTCCTCAGGAGAGGAGAAGGGGGTGGAGGGGGGGGTGGTGGAGGGGAGGGCGGGGGAGGGGAGGGAGGGGGTTTGGAGGAGCGCAAAGACGAAACACGCCTCCTCCAGCGCCAGCGACGCCTCCGCCGCCCCTCCGACCCCGCCGCCTTCCGCCGCCGATGCGGCGGCGCCAGAGTCGTCGCTGCGCGCGAGCGGCGGCCGCGGAGGCACACAGGCGCGTATGGCTTGCGGCACGAGAGTGCAGCGCGGCGCGACGGAGGGTAGCGCCTCAGTCAGCGGCGCGAGCAGCTCCCTCGAGAAGGCGACGACGGCGCCTGCGCCGCCGGCCGCTGCCAGCATCACCGGCCGGCGGTGCTCATCTGCCATCATCACATTCATGTCCGTTCCGCCGAGGACGAGGACGTACGGGACGGCCGAGCCGACCAGCAGCCGGCCGCTGCGATACGCGTGGATCCCGACCACCAGCGAGACAGCATCCGCCGCGACAAACGCCGACAGCTCGCCTGCGGGCCGAGGCGTCAAGGCCGTGGTGCGGAGTCCGCGCGTTAATAACACCGTCGGGCAGGCCAGCGCGTGGTGATGCGACCAGTGAGGGCCAGCAGAGCTCGCCCTCGGCAGCGAGGTCGTGGAGGTCTGATGGAGTGTGTGTCTCGCGCCGGCGTCAGCAAAGCCGTTGGAGTCGCGGCAGAGGCACTCGTGCCCGCCCGCGCGGATGCTCTCGGCAAGGCGGGCGGCGGTGATGGCGTTGCCGGTGGCGGCGCGTAGGGAGGAGAGGACGAGCACGCGGCCCATCGCGTCTGGCGCGCTCGCTCACTCGCCGCCCATTGCTTTTTAAAACAACGAGCCACTTTCCTGCCTCACAAGGGCGCCTTCCTTCCATTTCCCCGCGGCCAACACCCACGACCAGAAGAGGAAGCTCGGCGAGACGCTGCCCACCAAGGTCACTCGATGGCTGAACCGTGGGGTTGTCGAGGTTGTGCAGCCGGCCGGCCGTGAGTCACACACACCGGCCGGCTGCGTGCGAGTGTTGAGTCCGCGACCGGGACCGGCGCCTTGCCTGGTTTTCTGCCGCCCGACGAGCAGATGATGGCATCCAAAAGGAATTTATTGGAAACGGAAAAGGAACGACCGCAACCCACTCGCGAGGGCGGTACCAAAACAAAAAAGAAGACGACTCGCAGAGAGCCAAAGTAAAAGCACAGGCAAAAAGCTCTTCAAAGTCTGGGGTGCTCACCACTACACTACAGGAGGACAAGAGCGGTCGCCCAATGTCGGAACCTCCCGGAGGGATTCGAACCCCCGATACCAGATGCCCCTGAGTCTTCGAAATGGCCGCGGATCGACCACGCCATGTTGCACTCGGGGTGGAGGAAATGGTAACTCATATACCTCGAAGAAAAAGGTAGGGGGGGAGGAAAAGAGGGAGGGAGTGAGAGAGAGTAGAGAGAGAGAGAGAGGGAGGGAGAGAGAGAGAGAGAGAGAGAGGAGAGAGAGAGAGAGGGAGAGAGGTAGAGGGTAAAATGGTGACAAAATTTTGACAATTCTTGCATTTTTGCTCTGGTTTAGGGAGCAAGCAAGCTTACTCAACCCTAAGTACTCACCATTCTTACAGTGGTGTAGCTTGTGCAGAGGCTACAACCTCTACTGGGGCGGAATGCGCGGGGTTTGCGGCGCGATGCCCTCGGCGAGTACACGCTACTGCTGTGCCGCAAGCTCTCCTGCGCGCGCGTGACG